ATAAAAATATAAAAAATAATATTTAAAGTTAATCATAACTACTATTTATACCTAATCTGTTAGCATTTTTTACAACCTTATATTTTCAAATTATATACTTGTTAAAGCATTTATATCTTTTTTGAATACTAAATTTATATTATTAATTATAATAAAATTTTCATTATTATTAATATCACTATATTTATTATATATATTATATAATTATAGAATAATATTTCTATTTAGATCATAGAATTTCTCTTATATTAGCTTTTAAAAGATAGGTTTTGAATAAAATGGAAATTCTATTTTAAAAAACTTTCAAGATTATTTGAATCATAGAATTTCTCTTAGATCAGTTCTTTAAAAGTAGATTATAAATTTGTGGGATTTTTCTTTAAAAAAGAATATTTTTAACATTTTTTTTTCTTATTTATAATAATAGTTTTCAAAATTATTTGAATCATAGAATTTCTTTTAGATTAGTTCTTGAAAGGTAGGTTTTAAATGAAATGAAGTTCTTTTTTAAGAAAGAATATTTTAAAATATTTTTTTTTTTTTTTTTTTTTTTTTTGTAAAAATAGCTTATAAAATTATTTGAATTATGAAAATTTTCTTATATTAGCTCTTAAAAGATAAATTTTAAATAAGTAAATTCTTTAAAAAAAAATATTTATAATATTTTTTTTTTTTTTTATAAATACAGTTTCTAGAGTCATGAAATTTTTCTTTAAAATAATTTAAAGTAATTTTTTAAGAAAAAATATTTCTAATATACTTTTTTTTTATAAGAATAGCTTTTAAAATCATTTGAATTATAAAATTTCTCTTATATTAACTTTTAAAAGACAAGTTTTAAATAAAATGAGTATTCTATTTTAAGAAAAAATATTTTTAACATTCTTTTTTCTTTCTTTTTTGTAAAGAGATTTTTAAAATTATTTAACTCTAGATCAACTTTTAAAAGATAGGTTTTAAACTTAATAAAGTTTTTTTTTTAAAAAAGAGTATTATTAACATTTTTCTTTTTTTTGTAGAAATAGCTTTTGAAAATTTTTAAAAAATAAAATGTTTTTTGAATTAGTAATTAACTTATTATTTTATAAAGCTTGTAATTAAATAATAGTAACAGTACTTATTTAATAATAAATATCTTAATATTTATTGATTATTTTAAATATTTTAAAATATATTATTAAAATTAATACTTTTATAATAAATTTTATGATATTTTTTAAATATAAATTAAAAAAAAATGTAATTAATTAGTGATTTTTTATAAATAAATAAATAATAAATTATTATAAAAAAATAAACTTTTAAACTTATATATTTTGCTATTTATCAATCTTAAAAATATAAAAATACTATCATTTAATAGATCTTATTATGACAAATCCAATAAACTAAAATTTTATATTTTTGTAATTATTAGATAAAAAATTATTTTAAAAATTCAAAAATTAAAAAAATAATATATATTAATAATTATTAATTTTAAAAGTTTAAAAATATTTATTATTAGATATATAGGAGGATTTCTAGGAAAATCAGGCTCCGAGAAATTTTTCACTTAAATAAAGAGCTTAATACATTTTAATCTAATAACATCAAAAATTAAAATGCAATAAAAATCTCAATTTTGTTAAAAAATTCCCAGAACCTGATTTTTCTAGCAATCAACCCATATTATAATATGATAAATTTAAAATTTTTATTTTATTTTTTTATAATTATTAGATATCAAAATATTTTAAGTTTTCTAAAATGTTTTAAAAATAATTTTATACTTACAGTTTAAAAGATATTATTTTAATATAATATAATTAAATTTTAACTGATATTTTTTATTTTACTAATAAAATTGATATCAAATTCCAATTCTAATCTATAAATAATTATTATATTAATTAATCTTTTTAAATATAAATAAATTTTATTTATTTATATAATACAATCAACTTTCTATAAATGCATTTTCTATAAATATACATCCTTTATATATACCATTTTATTTAATCTCAATTTAGACCTTAATGCTAAATGCATATTTTTTATATATACATTTTCTGTAAATACACTTCTTATAAAAAAATTTTATATTGTTTACTTATAAATTTTTTGTATTATCTTAATTTTAAATTAATATTAAATGACTTTATATATATTCAATAAATGCATATCCTCTTTAAATACACCTTATATCTAGTTTTAAGAAGTATATATTTATAGAGAATTGACTGTAATTTTATATATAATACCTTTATATATGCATTCAATCATTTAAATCTTAACTTATTATTTTAACATAATATGATGGATTACAGCTAATAATAAACTAATTTTAAAATAATAAGATTATAAATTATAAAAATTTGAATTAAAAAACAATTGAATTATATTTATATATTAATTTTTCAATTTTTATTTTATAAATAATTTATTATCTAATAATTACAAAAAATATATAATTTAGTTTATTAAATTCATTATTTTAAATTCTATTAAATGATAATATTTTTATATTTCTAAAATAAATAGATAGCAAGATATATAAATTTAAAAATTTAATTTTTTTAATAATACTTTATTATATATTTATCTTTAAAAAATCATTAGTTAATTATATATTTTTTTAATTTTTACTTAAAAATCATTATAAAATTCATCATAAAAGTATTATTTTTTAAAATAATTATTTTAAAAATTATTTATAATAATTATTAATTTTATTTATAATTACAGATAAATTTATTTACAATATTATTAAAGGAATTCAAATTTCATATAAATAATTAAGTTTTAAATAATTAATCAAATATTTCAAAAATTTAAATTTAAATATAATTAATATTATTTAGATTTAGTTTAAATTAAATATAATAATCAGATTTTATGTAATTTTTGTATTTAAAATATTCAAATAATGTGAAATATAAAAAGAATGATAATTAATATATTTAATAAAAAATGTCTAAATTTAAATTAATTAATAAAGTTAAATATAATAGTATTTGATATGATATAATAAATAATAACTTAATCTATATAACTAATATTAAATTAATATTAAATTTATTTAGCAACACAACTTTATATAATAAATATATATATATATAACCTATATTTTATATATCTTATTTTATTAAGAAATTTAATATTATTTATTTTAATTGATTAAAAAACCATAAACTAAAAAATAAAATTACAATTTTAATATTGTTATAAAACAATTTTTATAACTTTAATTTTAGCTTAAACTTATTATAAATATCATAAAAATTTTTAATTTTTATCAAAAAATAAGCTATATTAAATATTTAATAAATAATAAATATAATATTTTATTTTATTATTTTAAAGACTTAAAATATCTATAAAATAATTTAAATTTTAAATAATTATAAAAATTTAAAATTATAAAAATGATATATTTAATAAAAATTCAAAATTTAAAAAAATTATTTTGATTATCAAATTAATATAAAAAAAATTATATATTAAAGATTTATAAAATTATTAATTAGTATTTTATATTATTATTTTGATTTAATTATATTAAAAAAAAAATTTTATAGAATCTAAATTTACTGAATATATTATTTAAATTTTTATTAAATTAAAAATATAAAATTATTTTTTTTTAATTTTAAAAAAATAAATTAAAGTTTAAAATTTAAACCAAATATTATAATTTATAAATTGATAAATTCTATATTAATTTTTATTAAAATATTATTTATTATATTTTATAACTTTTTTTTTTTAGTTTAATATATTTAAATACATATTTAAGTTTACTAATATATATTATCAATAATAATAATATAATATAAATAATAATAAAATCATTTGAAATTCATATTATAAATTTATTTTATACTCATCTTATCATATTTTCTTATAAAGCTACTTTTTTAATGTATTATAAAAATAATAAAAAGTTATTTACATGATGAAAAACTAATTCCATTATTAAAACACAATATTAATTTTGTAGCAATAATTCATAATAACAAAAAGATTATTTTCTCTAAAATATATTAACAATTCAATCTATCATTAATACAATAATATTTACTATAATACTTTAGAGAAATAGTGATTATGAAATGTTGTGATTATATGCTATAATAAGGTTTATAATATATTAGACCTATCGATATTATCAAGTTATATATTATAGGAATATACGATTCAGATTCATGATTATAAAATCGGAATATGAGAGCACTTTCCATGATCATCTCCTAACATGTTAGAGTTCCATTTGACTTAGATGATTGAGAATATCGCTCATTCAGTCTCAATAATTTTCCACATTCGAGGATCAATTCAGAGTACATGTTAGACATGTCCACATGAATAATATCGTGAAGAATGAAATAACTTCGTTATTAATTCCGAATTATGCCCTATTTCCGGAATAACTTATCTGAGATTTTGGAGGTTATTAATAGGGACTTCGTCTATTTTAGACATGATAGAATATTTGTAAGATATAATACCTTGCCGGCTTTGCTGATTCTTCTCGAAGACATCTTGACAAAACCAAGATCAAGCTTGTTTTTATTCATTAGAGTCTTCTGCAGTCGAATAATCTTCGCCAAAAATCCAATAGTTGATCAACTTTTCTGATCTCGAATGAAAGAGTTCCAAAATTGATCAATATTAGGACGTGCGATCTTAAGAGCGAGCATCATTGTTACACAACAGTAAATATTCCAAACACACCATTGCGAAACAAGTAGGATCGATTATATAATTAAGAAAGTGTTTTATTAGAGATACCAAATTACATTTGTGATATAATTGACTTATTTTGATGTTGCTACCGACAATATCTCTACATCATCAGAATCATCATCGCTTACGCATCAAGATTTTACACATATGCATTCAATGGCAGACCTAAAAATTAAATGTGTATGGATAAAACAATAAATAACTTTAACGTAGTTCCAATAAATGCTCAATTCCTTATGCATATCGTAAAATTATCGTGAAATTTGAAAATTATGACAATACCTACAATTTTCTTTGTAGAATTTCGAGAACTCTCAACTTTCTATGGTCATTGCGTTGCTTGAATAATAGAGAAGTTGGACCAGTCTCAAGAAAACCAATTGAGAAATCTACACGCCACGCCTTTAATAAACTTTTCTCATTGCGTTAGCAACTTTCTTTACTTCAAAAAAGTAATGTATATTAATAATACTCGATTCTTTCTCAAGTACGATCTTGAAAAATTATCTTACCAGACTCCCATATATTGGAGGTATCAAATATTTTTTAATCGGTTCGGAAAGTATTGGTGAAATTTTGTCAAAAGTACTGAGCAATCATTCTGAGCGTAGCGAGATCATATCCAAGTTCTTCATCTAACTTATTCACCTACATTCCCATATGGCTTTCTCTCCTTCCAAAGTATTGATCACATGCTTTTTTTTTTTTGCTCACGCTTCAAAGTATCCAAATGCGATAGAAAGATGGATATCGTCAAATGCAGAAGATACCTATAAGATGGTAAAAGTTGAAAAATTACAAGTGCAGGATCAGATGGATACTTTTTTCAATCAGGATGCCGGCAAACGATATGATCTCAGCGGGATCCAGCTATGCTGCACGGTCGAAATGTTTTCAATGATGTAGCCAGTTCGATTATAGTGTAGCTCGTTGTAATGATTAATCAATATCCATTAGATTTGTTAGTTAAAAATACATAGTAACTTGGTTTCAAAAACTATGAAGCAACAATATTTGCTCTTTGTAAATTGTAGGAATTCGGAGTAACTTTATCTGAATACTTTTATAAAGTTTATTACTTCCTTATTACGATCACATCTTTTTATAAATGCATTAATAATAAATAGTAATGGCAGCTTTATGATATTTAGTTGCGCAACGTAAGTGTGAGTAAAGAAAACCACCTAATTTCGTTCTATTGCCTTGTTATTCAATAATTCGTCATACGTGAGTGTAACCATCAAAAAATAATTGTCTCGTGATCATTTTTGACAATCCTATAAAGTATTATTTTAATAATTAAACAGTGAAATATATTTTTTTATAAAGTATAATTATTTTGTAAATAATAAACTATATTAATTATAATTCTTGTAAAATTATATAATTTTTTTTTAGATATTTTTTTTAATCAAAATTTATTATTTCATAAAAAATATATATGTTTGTTTTTCTCTATTAATTTTTGATCTAAAAAAAATTATACATTATAAAAATAAAAAAATTTGCTAATTTGTAGTATCACATGATTATTATCATAAAGACAAAAAGAAAACAAAAAGAAAACAAAAAGAAAACCGCTTGAACCTTTTAAGGGCTTTACGATTCTCTATAATTTAACACATTTAAAATGTACTTAGCTTCATCAACAAGTTTTAATAGTTTTTCGTATAGTTCAAATTGTATCAGTAATGACAAATTTTCTAGTTCTGATTTACTTTGTTCTATTTGTTTGTTTAATGATTCTAACGTTACTTTCAATGCTTCTGTTTCTTCTCTCAACTTGTGAATTTCTTGTTCATTATTATATACGACTGATTTTAATCGTGTTAATTCGATATCCAATTCAATACATTGGACTTCAAGTAATGATATCATGCGTTTTGTTTGTAATTCATCGGGTTGAATTCTAGGAAGTGTCGGAGAACTTAATTTTCTTTTTCTCGGATGATTCCATGAAGCAATAAGTAATTGATTACAATGACTTGCAGGCTCCTTTTATGAAACGTAACGTATATATAATTAATTAAAAACCTGTTTTCAAATTAAAAATAAGATAAATGGGGTGGGTGGAAAAAGGGACCAAATTGAACATTTTTTCCTAAGTGAAATAGATGTAACTTATCATCTGATTCAGAACACTTCTTGTTCAAAAAAGTAATTTTTTTACAATTTGGTCCCTTTTCTCAGCACAACTCCAAATATAAAAGATGAATAACATAAATACCCAAGTAGGTTTCCAAGGCCTTTTATTCTTGTCCATTCCTTTCCATTTCACTAAATAGAATGTCGTTTCGTCCGTGACTTTCTCATCTATGATTCGTTCGGCTTCGTAATATTGATTTGCAACACGCATCTTTTAAATCTTTACTATCCTTGTAATTTTCAAGAGCAAGGTATGTATTTAAAAAAAAATAATATATTTACCTGGCAATGTTCATCATATATATAGATTTATTTTTATTTTTACCAAATTGGTAAGAATTTCACGTCCACCAATTGGAAAATTTATAAAAATTTGTACCCATATTTGAAGTCGCCATTTTTTTAAAAAAAATGCTTGCTTAAATACTGTTCTTTGTAAAACCTTTAAAATTTTTAAAAGATAAACTTATTGAGTATAGTGTCTTTTTACAGCTGTTTCATTTCTTATCCGCAAAATCTCGAATGAATACAGGTTAATTTTGCATATATTCAGTGTACTGTTACAAACAACTCGCATATGTTTTATTCCATTAAATATATTTTTAGACAATATAATAAAAAATATTTTAACTATATCTGATATCAATTAACTTTTATGGAAACAAAAGAAAAAGTATTTGAATAAGGTTAGGATAAATTAAAAAAAATTTATCTTCTCAAATTAAGATTTACCAACTGTTTAACAAAAATTATTTAATCATGTGTAACACCAACAATTTGCATAAAAAAATTTCATAAAAATAAACGGGTTCCCTGTTACTTCTAATCCTTAATGAAGTTTCAAAAAAGGAAAAGCTTGTAATCTAGACCTTTTCAATTATTATTTGGGCGTTGGATTCCAAGTTTCTTTTTTTCTTTTGTTTGTACATGTACACAAGTGATAAATTAAGGAGTATATGTATGTACATATTTGGGTCTATTAAAATACTAGGAATAGAAATGAATGGTAACAATACTTTGTTTAGTAAAGATTTTTTTTTGTTCCGGTTGTTCCGGTACAAATTTAACCGGATCCTAAAATACACGTTAAAAATCCAAAAATAACTTACATACTGCGCATGATCGATACAATTACTGTATATTTTATTATACAAAAATTATCAAAATAATTTAACATTTTTGATATTTTCGTAGTATTTTGAATTTCAGAAAAAGCTTTTTTATGAGTAAAATTCAAAATTTGAATTATGTTAATCTTGCTTTTCACTATTATCATCAATATTTTCTTTTTGTATATCCAATAAATAAAATAATATAATAAATTTAATTATTAAATTTGTATTTATTAAAAAAAAAAAATACCTTGAATATATTTTGCATTTTTTAATTTTAAGTTTCATTCTGTAATAATATCTAAGATAATTAAAATAAATAAAAAAGTTCAGCTATTAAAAAAAATTAAAAATTTAAACCTGCTAAATATCGTGTAATATCATGTTCATAATAGCCTAATCCTTTTTGAGCAGTATGTTTTCATAAGGAATAATTTACAACTCACCTATTTATACAATTAAAATACAAATTTCTTTTAATTTTCAGATAAATTGTTTCAATCATATGTTTTATAAAATACTAGTTTACTTACTTAATATCTAAAATATATTATTAAAGTTAAAAGTTACCTATATTGATTGTTTTTTAATAAAAAAAAATATTACCTTCAGAATTTTTGTTAATATGATGAAAATATAATTTTTTTTTGTTATAAATTTGAATATTATTTAATATTATCATATGCTTTATATCTTTTAAATTCATCTAAAAAAAAATAAATATATAAGTGATTGATTAGAATTTATTTAATGGTAAGAATCTTTTTGATGAGTTTTATTATAAATTTTATAAATTATAATAATATTAAATCTCTATTATCTTATTATTAAAATATTAACTATAATATATACTAAAATCTTTTCTTTATATTCATATTATACCTTACCTATAAAATACTCTTTTAAGTAATATATCTAATATTTTATTTAATAATTTAAAATGATCAAAGATATTAATTATATTTTCATCTATAAAAATTAGAATTGTAATTTATTACTTATTTACTTAGATATAATATAAGTATATTTAAATAAATATAAGTATTTATATTATAGAATAACAAATAGGTAAAAACAGATAATACCTAATTTTGTATCCATTTTATATTTATCCTTTAAATTATCTAGTAGGTAAATTTGTTTATAAACTTAAAAAAAAAAAAATTAAAATATTAAATATTAATTTTAGAAATGTAGTAATTATATAAAAAATATAGTTTAATATATATTTTATTAACTTTATTAAAAAAATTTTAATAATTCAATTTTTAAAATTAAGTTTTATTAAATTCATTATAATAATTTTTTAAAAATTTCTTTAAAATTTATATATTTACAAATAAATTAAATTACTTTATTATTATTAATAATAATTATAATAATTAAAGTTATTCTTCATGATAAATTTATAATATTTTATTATTATTAATATAATTAAAGATAAATATTAATAAAATTAATTATAAATTTTTAGCTTATAAATAATTTTAGATTATTTATTATATAATTAAAAAATAAAATTATTATAAAAAATTTTAATTTTTTCATATTAATAAATCAAAAAGGAATTTATGGTAAATAAGTAAACAAATTTACTTACAAACTTTTATAATCTAAAAAATAAAAATTAACCAAATATAATTTAATTTTTTTTAATTTAATTAATAAATTAATATTATTTAAAAAAAATTTGAATTTTTATATTATAAAAAAAAGAATGATTTTTTTTTATAATAAATTTATTTTAGAATATATGAAATTTTTGCAATAGAAAGAAAAAAAATTACCAATAATAATCAATTTTACATTTATATGCTAAATATCATTTTTAGGTTAAAATATATTTAAAATTAGTATTAACTCATTTTTAATTTTTAATTTTTTATTGTAAAGATCTTATATAATTAATAAAATTTATTAATAAATAACTTAAATTTAAATTTATATACATTTAATAATAAATTATAATTAATCAATTTTTTACAGTATATTTTTACATAAATAAAAATTTAATATAATAATAAGAAGTTAAGAAAGAGTATTATATAAAATATTAAAACAAAATTATTAAAAACTATAATTTTAATATTTAATATACTTTTAAATATTATTTATAAATATTAATTATTAATTAAATAATAATTTAAATTAAAATAATATTTTTTATTTTTCTTTCATTATAATTATTTGAAAAGAATTTTATATTTATTTAATATATTATATTATTCTTTATGATCAATTAATATAATGATCAAAAAAGGTAAAATATTTGAAAATTTAATAATAATTATAAGTTATTATACTTTGTAATAACTAATATTAAAATTATTGTTTAATTTATAATAATGATCAGTTATATTTAGCTACGTTGTTAGTGATAATCCATTTGCATCAATAAATGACTGTATCAATTAATATCACTAATGATTACTACAACTTAAACTCCCTATTAGCAAATAAGCTTTATTATCTTAATAACGTAGTATTTAGATTAAATACTATTCTATAAATATATATCCTTTATAAATGCACATTTATGTTCAGTCTTTAAGAATGCATTTATAGAAATATTACTATATTGTAATAATATATAAGAACTCTAACCCTTAACATTACACAAAAGTAAACCTGAACCCTAACCCTTAACGTTATATAAAAGCAAACCTGAACCCTAACTCTTAATATAATACAAAAGTAAACTTGAACCCTAACCTTAATATAACATAAAAGTAAACCTGAATCCTAACCCTTAATATTATACAAAGGCAAACCTAAACTCTAACCCCTAACATTACACAAAAGCAAACCTAAATTCTAATCCTTAACATCATATAAAGGTAAATCTGAAACAATTTTACGAATTTATTTTCATATTTCTGATTAGTCAACATTTCTACAATTATGATTGGCTAAAATCAGACCATATGATCAATATGATCAATATCACCTATGGTCTAAATATATCTATCACCCAATGTCAGTTCTAGACTTTACATTTTTTAACAAATAAAATTTTTCATTTATTTTAGCATCTTACTAACCCTAACCTTAAATTAACCTTAAATTAACCCTAAAATAATCCTAAATTAACCCTAAATTTAACCTTAAATTAATCTTTAACTAACCCTAACTGACTCTAAACTGATCCTAATTCTAACTCTAAACTAATTCTAAATTGACTCTAATACTAACTTTAAATAACTCGCATTTTACACAAAAAAAGATTTAACGCAAAATACAAATAATATAAATAATATTTAAAATCATATAATTAAAATAATTTATTGAAATATATTATAATAAGTCATTTTAAATTTAGCGATTTAGCATATACATTAATTAAACAATTATAAAATTCTAAGATAAATAATAAAATTATCTAATAAGACTAGACTAAAATAATTAAAATATGCTTTATTTTCTAAATTTTATATTTGGTGCAACTTAAGAATTTCTTATTTCATTATTATCAATAGTTCTTGATACAATATCAATTCTTGCAATTCTTGTTCTTTCTATTTGAATAATTTGCATAAATGTTGTTCGTAAACTATAAATATCTTCTGCACTTTTATCTTTCCATTCTACAAGAATTAAAAAAAATATCTTGTAATTTTAAGTTTTTACTGTTTTTATCATAATAAGTATTATGAATATTAGAATATTCTATATTTGAAGAAGTTTACATTTCTACATTATTATCATTATTATTATAAGTATGAATTTGATTCAATATAGCAAATATATATTTGCATTGCAATTGTCGTATTTTAAAATCACGACAAATAAAAACATATAAAGTAATATCTAATTCATTATTATTAAAATTTTGTCTTCAGATTGAATATTTAATATCATTATTCATCATAAAATGTACAATTCATAAATTTTGATTTAATTTATATATATCCTTTTTATTTATATGTTTAGCTCCTAGAATTTCCCAAATACATTATTAACATTATTTTAGATTCATTTTACCTATTCTCAATTACCTTAAAAAATTTAAAAAATTTATATCTCATAATATAACTTCTACAAGAAGATAAACTTCACCATCAAGTCAACAATTTAAACATTGAAACCGTGATCTGTGACTACGCTATGGATAAGTCATATGATCAGAATGATCGACATAGTTGACAAAGTTGACAAAGTTGATAGAGTTGTTAAAGTTGTCAACGATGATCAATTTAACATATTTATCATATTTAACATATCTGTTATATTTGTCATAGTTGATTTTGTATTATTTTATTTTATATAAATATCTTGTATTTTCCCTTGGGTTGAAAAGTAACTCAAGTTGAGGTTTTAGGATAAACCAAGAGTTCAATAAAGGAATCGTTAAATTCATTTACTATTGCCTTTTGTTGTGTCTTCATATAGGCGTGATTGTGATATTGTGTCTTGTATTTAATTCAACAGATTGAATTAAAAGTTTATCGTTTAAGTTTACAGATACCAAGCCAACAACATTCTTTCATATATTATATTTTAACTTATGATAAAATGCTTCAATTAAATATTTTTGTATCCATATTGTCTCTTGCTATATTTCTAGCATATATTATTCACAGTTCGTATTGTAACTTCTAACATCATTCAAAGTAAGTAGCAAATTTTTCTATTGCTTTAATGCCTATCTCACACCACTTATTAATTGTAATAATTATTTGTTCTTGAGCTTCAGCATTTGACCATCCTTTTGTTTTTAATAATCTTCAAAGATCATTCTAAATAATTTCTTTATATGAATTAATATTTAAACACGTTTATGATCCAATTTTTTATATCAAGATCATAATACATGAAAATGATACAAAAAGACTGAACTATCTAAAAACATTCCTTAATTGCATTTATTTTCTCTCCTGCATCATTGACCATAAATATGTCTGAAAACTATTCAATATGTTTTTGTTTTAAAAAATCTAACCATTTTTTCAAAGTTATCGTTCGTTTAAATTGACTTATCAAAAAAGCAATCAGATATTCACATCCTATTACTGAATGTCATATTACAAGGATAAAAAGATGATAACTATGATCATTCATATTATACGTACTATCTAAACATAATATTCTTGAAGAATTTGTTAGTTTATTTTACTTTTTGTTTGAAAAGTAAAAAGAAAGCCTATTTTATCTGGTCCATTATACCATTTAAAAAACAATTTCTACTTTTAATGATTATTTTTATACTATTTTTTCAAAGATATCAATATATTTTCATCAATATAAACAAATCTTTTCATCATCTTATGTACAATTATATAAATATCATCTTTTGTAATTAAAGCATCTCTTAACATCTGAATGTTATTTGTATTTACATAGAAACTGTTACATTTTTTAATACTTGATTCTGAAGTTCAACTGTTTTAAATTGCAAAAGTCTTTGTATACTAAGACAATTAAGACCTTTAAGTACACGTTACTAAATAAACCATTGAATATTTTTAGAAAGTGATAATATACACAAATTTGATAAATGATCAGGATAATGATTATTATATTTATAATAATGATGCAAGATTATTGCAGATGAATTTAAAGGAAGTTTGACTTGTATGTAACTCTTTCAACCATATTTCTTTGTTTTCTTTTATGTCAATCAAGGTTTTTTATTTGGATTTTTATCAGCAACATTCTTATATGTACTATATCAATGATAATATTATCATTCTTTTCATCAGTACAGTTTTTATTATCACCTAATTTGCCTTAATGATTGTGTTAAACATAGCTAAGTCCTACACTTCTAAGGTTTTTTATCCATTTCTCATATACTTCAACTAAAAAATGATAAGTTTTCATTTTATTTGCTTCTTTAGATTCTTCTGGTATTGTATTATCATCTTTAATACCTTCTCACATATGGAAAGTAGTCAGTAGAAAAGTGGGAAATCCACTTTTTAGTAAAAAATTTTTTTATTAGTTCACTCTGCTGATTATGGTCATATGAATAAAATTAGCTTAATAACTAAAATTACTCAAAATTTGTAGATTTTCTCCTTTTCTATTGACCGCCTACTATATATTCAATACCATCTATAGTATCAAGAATAAGATTAATTTCATTGTCACTTATATCTATATCAATTTTCTTACTAGCTTCCTCAGCTTCTTCATTTATATCAAAAATAGAATTAATATCTGGTGGTATTAATATGATAAAATAGGAGTGTATGAAAAGCTTCTAAATTTTATTTCTTATATTTATCATGTAAGAATAATAAGGAAAATTTGACGAAAAGTCTGTTAAATCAATAAATTCCAATGAGAAAATTTGTGAAAATTTGTGAAAATCTGTTAAATTAAAAATTTCAATAAGAAATTTAGCGAAAAGTCTGTTAAATCAATATATTCTAACAAGAAAATTTGGCAAAAAATCATTAAATCAATATTTTTCATATGACGTATGTACAAAGAAAATCAGCCAATCAGAAACAAGAAATAATATTGATTTATCAGAAAGATTAGGATAAATTAGAAAATCCAACCCTAACCCTTAACGTTACACAAAGGCAGGCCCGAACCCTAATCCTTAATGTTACACAAAGGCAGGCCCAAACCCTAACCCTTAACATTACACTAAGGCAAGCCTAAACTCTTACCCTTAACGTTACACTAAGGTAGGTCTGAACCCTAACCCTTAACATTATACAAAGGCAGATCTGAACCCTAACCCTTAACGTTACATAAAGGCAGACCCGAACTAGGGACGATGTTTTGTTGTGGTGATATAAAGTAAATTTTGTGTGTGATGTAAATCAATTTTGTGTTGTGTTGTGATC